CCGAGATCTTCCATCTTGAGGGACACATACTCAAAGAAGTTGTGGAATGATACAGCCGAATTTCTCTGAAGGAAATCCAGAGTCACCGGCCGCGACTGAGCTGCTCTTGCCTGCAAGGTGTAAGGTGTGTTTGGAATTTGTGCAATAAAATATGTTAAAATACTTTAAAATACTATAGACTATAGTGACTATATAAGAACACTTGGGCTTTTGTCAGCCAGCCCTCCTCCGCATCCATTCTCCACATCTTGACATATGCTCGCACATTGTCAGGGTGGGAATCAAGTGGTAGAGTAGGACCTGGCAGAGCCTTCCTCTGGCCCTCCTCAACTTCTTCAACTTCATCAGTGCCAGTTAAAGTCGCCAAAGCAGCTTTGGCTTTGCTTTGTGACCAATCTGCCCAAACGGTGGTTGCCGCTTGTTCCAAGACACTGCACATGATCTCAGTTCCATAATTTCTTGCCAAATGGAGCCGAAAGATCTTCATTGATTCATGAAGCCGGTGAAAGCACATGTGGGACAGAGATCGAAAGCCAATGTTGTGGTCATTCACGGCTTTCTCCACGCAGACGTAGCCTTGCGGCACCAGAAGAATATCTCCAGCAAGGAAGCAGCCATAGGCAAATGTTGTGAGCTCCCTGAAGGCTTCATGTTCAGGTGTGAGGTTTTGCAACCCATCCAGGCAAGCTTGGATGCTTGAGCAGCCAAGTTCTGACCACAGCTGGTCAATCCTACACAGAGCCACAATCCTGGTTCCTGATGCCTGGATTTGAGCCATGCCTGCACCACCGCTTGCATGGCCAGCGAAGTTAGTGCCCTTTTGGACTGCATAAAGCTGCAACTGGTCCCACTTGGACTTGGAGTCTGCAAACCGCTGAGGATTCATTCTTTCTTGCACCTCTGTGTCCAAATGCTCTGTGAGATTCTCCGAACATCTAAGAGCTGGCTCCATGAGTATGTCCTGCCAGGGCCAGCTGCGAAAATATTGAGAGGGTATGGTATGGTGGAGGTATGCAAACAAAAGGAACTGTGGCAATTAGTAAGGCAAACAGTTCGGCCTTTGTTGCCAAAAACAATTACTGTACCGTAGCCGTACCCGTAAGTTGATCAAAACCGACTCCTTGTTGGTTTCTTCCAGCACGCGTTCAAGCAGATCATCCATAGACACTGCCCTGGCCACCTCCGTATCAATGTCATTCAGCACTTGCATTCGTCTTGTGGCAGTTGACTTGGGATTCGCGAACTCTGCGCAAATGTCTGATGTGAAAGTACGGGACGCTCCAAGAAGTACAGTGTTGATTTGCTTCACGTACTTCTGATCCTCGAAGCTTTGCTCCTGACTTGTCACAAGACCCCCTGACCCTGACCCCCTGGAAGAAACATGAACTTCCCAACAAAAACACATAAACAAACAACTACCCCAGCCATCACCCAACAAAAACATGCAAGGCGAAACTCCGAGCTTCCAGAACCTTTTTCAAAGTTGCCCTTCTCGCACGGATTATGACTGGCTGACAATCTGCATAGTACTGAAGTCCCAAGTCCTGATCCAAAACTTGGAACTTGGGAAGATGAAAATAGAACTTGGATCTTGGGAATTGGGCCCAACATCAAACATCCAAATCAAGGCAACAATTTGTAAAGCTTGCAATAGTCTTTGCAAGGTTCAAAGTCTTCCACCACCTGTATTGCTGAATCCGTGAACTTTGATTGGAGAACTAGTGGATCTGTATCAGTCAACTCTGACCATACATTTGCAGGGGCTCTGCGCTTCTTCTGAGGTGGGATCTCCGTTGTCGGCCCTCCGGGCCCTGCTGATCGCTTTTTGTTCTCATCCTCGACCTCGCCCTCCTGCTCCTGTTGGTCTTCCTCCTTCTTCTCTGCCTGCTGCTTCTTTGCCAGCCTATCCCGCAACTTCTGTTCCTTCTTTTGCTCTGTCTTTTGACGCTTTTGCTCACGAGCCAGCTCCTTCTGTTCTTCCTGACAGGGGTGTGACAGGGGGAAACAACGACTGCGCTGAGCTACCCAATTGAAATAGAAATTTAATCACTTAAGACTTAAGCAATGTATTAACAGGCATACAGTATACAAGCTAAACTTGTGAAGCCGGCTCCTTCATTTCCAATTCCCGGGCTTTTTTGACGGCAGCTGCTTGTTGTGAAAATTGTTTGGCTGACGTAATCAAACCAGTGGCCAGGCTGTTCATATGCACAAGTGCCCTGCCGTGCAGCTCGTACCCGGTGTGGACGTCGTCAACACATCCCAAAAGGTCAGAATTGTTGCGAAACACTGACAGTTGGCCCACCGTTTGTGCTTCTTCCCTTAGCGCTCCAAGCTCAACAAAGAAGGCATCATCCTTCATCAAGGCCCACAAAGATGCTGAGATTGACTGACCACGGACTGGGTCAACGTCAGGATCGTTTGCAAATTGAGCCTTGCTCGCACAAACGCACCCTAGGACTATGCTTGTCTGCATCGTGACCGGACCTACCCCAATGCAGATGTAAAAAAAACAATGCAGATTTCAACAACCAAGTAACCATGGTCAATCGCTTGTTGATTTCACGCAGAGCTGGGTGGGTGTCGAACATGTCCTCCGTGATCCCTTCATCATCCCGAACCTCCACCACTCAACACAAACAGGTGATTGGCAAGCTGTGCTGTGCTACAATGATTCGAAAACACTTTTCTTTGCCTTCGCCAAGAGGTGCTTGGCGGACGCAATCGCCGTTGTCAAGTTTCTCTTGAGATCATTGAAAGGTCTCATTGACAAACGCCTTGATGTCATCGACGCTGTCACCACACTGCCAGAAGGGCCAGAAGGTCCACCCTTGGGCGGCTTGGTGTTCTTGGGCTTGGTCCCCTTGCCCTTTCCCTTGCCCCCAGCTAGTGGAGCAGCGGTAGATGGCATCACATAGAACTCCTCAGTGTCATCGCGCAAGCTGGTGGCTAAGGATTTGCACTGCTCCTCCATATTCTGCGCAGCCTCCTCCCCCGGATTTTTGATTTGCCCAACCTGCTTCTTCAAGTCCATGAACTTGTCCTGAAGTACTGGCACCAGGTATGGGCATGTGTCTAGGGCTATGGAAATAGTGCGAGCTATGATTTAGATATATTTAGAGTGTACAGACTGGCAAGACTGTTTTGAACAAGTTTCGTCAAATTGGATTCGGGACTTCTCTCGTGGCAAATCCACATACAAGGCCCATGCATAGCCACCAGTCCATTCCCCTAGCTCGTTGAATTGTTTGAGTTGTTCCCGATCCACAGAACGATCCGCGAACTCCCTCTTCCACCTGTGCTCTGCCCCTTCACGGGACAAACCTCAGAGATTCACGGGAGACTTCGGGGACTCTAAAGAAACATCTGTGTTTGCATGTGCAGAAAAAAAACTAAGGGGGTAGCGTTGACAAGATGGAACTTCCCCTGTCTTCCCGGTGTAGAAATCTACATAGTCTTGGAAGCACTTGGGAACACTGCGGACACCTACTTGCTTTCGCTCGCCGATCTGACGATGTTCATCCAACACAGCAAAATCAAAGGACTTTGGCTTTCCTTCGGCTGTGCTGGCTTTTGGGCGTCCTGGCCCCTTCTGCAACCTTAGTTGTCCGTGTTTCCGTACCCAAATCCCACCCAACAAAACATAACATGTTTGTGCGTAACCAGTCACCTATAGGACCTGCAGCCTATAATCTATTATCACTCACTTAAGAAAAAGTCCAGTAGCCCGTCACAGAAGGTGTTGAACAAGGATAGATATCGTTGTGGGTCTGTCTTCTTCAAGTTCACAAGCTCCTGCTCCTTACCTGCCTTAGCGGCCTGCAAGTGAAATGTCTTTTCCTTGCTGGTATCCTTGCCACAGAACTGCAAAGAAGCACCAACTTTCATTTGGATCTGAGTTCCACAACGATCACATGGGATAAGCCTCAAAGCAAGCGATGGCGCTTGCAAACCGGATGCCACGTGTTTGGCCTGATCACCTTGCAATGGCATTTCAGGCGACATGCTGCCGTCATTCCCCGCATCAGCAGCCATGCCTAAAACCCACACTTAGATGACCAAAGCACACAACTCGCTGCACAGAAATCACCACTAGGGCTTAAGCAAAATGCTTTGGCGGAATAACACCAGTTCAACGTTTGCCTCAATGCCTCATGATCTCACGTCCGTTCCTGTCATGTCCTTTCCTGAACAAGCAACACACCAAGAGCGCCAAGAAAGATAGGCAACGTTTTCGCACACAACATTCCTGAAAGCTACATCAGCTTAAGCGTGCGCAACAGTCAAGAACTAAATCAGCTTGAGCGTGCACAAAAGTGTACAATGAACGGCTCCCACAACTGCAAGGTGCATTGCCTCAGACCCAGAATCAAAGGAAAGCAGAGAGTGGGCCCTGGGCGGCAACAAAAAGCTAAGTAAAGCGCATTCCCTGCAAGCTTCTTCTTTTGGCAATCGGTCGGCTGGAACCCTCCAAACATGGGACGCTTGATCAAGCTCCCGTCGTTCAGCAATTCAGGATACATCGGGCACCCCATTGCGCAAAGATGTTCCTGAGTCTGGCATATGTTATCATATGTTTTCTTTATCATATTGTTTGACGAAACACGCAGAAGGTAGTGCTGAATATTGACACAATTCTTGACACAGTTTGAACCAGGAGACAGATCCTGTCATGGCTCGTTCCTCAATGCTTTCTGGGTGATCTTGCGCAAGAAGCCACATAACGCCAGCCTTCAAAAACAGCTGTAGAAAGCGATTAGCTTCTAGTGAAGATTTTGGGTTCTGGTTCAAGTTGCAGATCATGAACGCCAGCCTTTAACAACGTCGGTAGAAAGCGATTGGCCACTGGTCTTGACTTCGGGTTCTGGTTCAAATTGCAGATCATGTATTTGGGTCCTTTGCTGTGCGAAACACAAGAAAAAAAACAGCGCATGATGCTGCTTGTTGCTACAGCAACAATGAAACACATTAATCCAATCCAATTGTCGGCTTGACTTCTTTTCAAACCTTTTCTGGACCTTCTTGAGGGTACAGTATCCATCTCGGTACACCGGCTTGGCACCTGCAGGCTATGGTTCATATATGTTAGAATCACACTGATGCTCACTCTGACACAAGCGTTGCGGTTACAAAGCCGCAGCCAGCCTTGAAGAAAATTCTTGAAAGGATCTGTAGAAGGCCTGGCGGCCTTCTTTGCCTGGGCCTTCCTTAAGGCAGCAATCTCTTCCTGCAAAGTGCAAAGCAAATGGCAATGATTCTTTTGGTGACTCCAGACTCCGGTCATGGTTCAAAGTTTGTCATACTGTTCGGGTCACATGTGTGCTCCTTGGGAGCACAGAACAAATCCGCCACCTGCATGTTTACCTTCATGTAGAGATGCTCCATGCATGCAAGGCCTCTGCCTTGCAACATGCATACAGACTTGTTGGTCAGGACTGTGTAAAGCCTCCAGCGCAGCTGAACATATAACATCTTTATATAACCAATATGATTGAACACAAAGCAAGAGTTTGAGAAAGCAGGAATTTGAATCATACAATGATGGCCTGGGTCTTGAACAAGGCCATCCAAAGAGAGTTGGTGAGAGAAGCCACACGCGGGGGCCACCGACTTTTGCGTTCCGAGATAAATCTTTCCATGCGTGCGGTTCTTCAAAGCGATGAATTTCAAAGGACTCGCCAAGATACTTCTGGAAGACTGACTGGTCAAAATAAGGAGTGCACTCGTGGATGGCTACTGCCTAAAATGCGTTCCCTGCCGTAATGACACCAGAATGGTACTGAGACTGACCGCCACTAATGCAAACAAGCTGCTGGCTTCCCATGTTTGATCATGGAAAGCCAAATAGCCAGATACCGTGAACTGTCTCCGAGAAGCTTTGCTCGTTGTCCTTGCGTGAAACTGAGACGGACAAACATCCAATATTCCTGGACAAGCCATTGAATTGAACAGTTCCAGTCATGGACAAGATTCCAATCATTGACACATCCGTGCATGTTGTTCCAGCAGTGTAGACACGGATCGTGACCCTACCATCATCATTTGGGATAGTCTCTGCTCGTGCATGTCCAACGGGCGAAAGACAATCCTGAAGGCACCAGGCACTGATGTCTCAAACGATAATCCCCAACAATAATGTGTGACACCGGTTCCCTTTTTCTCCTTCCCGTGTGTTTTGCACGGCTGGTTGTCCACAAACACAGAAGGATCTGCCAAGACCTTCATGTAGCTGTCTAAAAGCTGCTCCCCAAACTGGTGTTTGATATCATCCTCTTCAGAAGGTTCACTCATGCCTTGGCTGCCCAGCAGCAGAAATTGGTGACTGTGTGTGTTGCCCTAAAGCAGCGATCTTTAACCAGGTAACTCATGGTCACCGTCATCAATGTATTAATCTCTGAGCGTGCCAAATCCAATTTCTTCCTAGCCTCCTTGCTTATCATATGTTCCAGGTTGTCCAGCACATGTTGTGGGCGATTTTCCTTGGCGGCTGCGGCTGGGTTATTGTTTGCCTTACTAGTTGTTCACTGATTCTTGCTACCATGAATCTTCTGACAAATTTCCCAAAGCCTTTTGGCATAGTTTATCACAGTCACAAGCGGTCAGGGTTCTAACTCCGTCTGCTGGCACTGCCAAACCTCAAGAACAAGTATTTCTACGTCAGATTGGATACCAACATTGAACTGTTTAATCCCCAATAATGAGGAAGAGAAACGCAAAGCCTCTGCTAAAGCACGATGCTGAAGTTTGAAAGCTGTCGACCCATTGCCCGTTCCCGCAAAAGAATCGAATACCTCAATCTTGCAAGTGCGGAATAGCTCCTTGAAATTCTCGATGAACACAGGGTCAGCCAAGAACATTTTGGAAGCGTTCCCTGCTGGCCAATCAAAAAGGTCTGAATATTCACTCGAACCTTTTGGCCAGACATTGGTACCCTCCTGATCTGCTTCACATTCCTTGGCACGGCGTGTGAGGGGTGTAGCAGCTGCAAAGGGCGTGCAAAGGGCTGCAAATGGCATGCAAGAAAGAGTTGTCAATGACCAATTGAGGCACCTACTTGTTCGGAAGACGATCCATCATGTTCTGAATGTATCATGGCAGATTCATCTGGGCGTTCAGGTTCATTCTGACAAGGAGGTTCTGGCTCCAGGCTTGTTGACGAAGACGAACTCGAACTACTACTGCTACCAGACTTCCCACTTTGCATGGCTCACAAAGTGTCGGTTCGTGCTGTTTGTGCCAAGAAGATCTAAGCGAACGCACACAGTTGGTAGGCAAATAGGTACACAGCATGCGGCGTAATAATGTACAGAGAGACTGGAAACACTGAGCAGGATGAAGTTTTGGCACTTCCTTCTGAGAGTTTTGGCATGGTCTTGATTATCTTGCACAGGGCTGATGCGCAATCAACTTGTCCAAATGTTTCCCTACTTACTCTACCCTGCAGTTCCTAGAATGTACACATTCCTTAATTACTGCGCAAAATCCTTAATTACTGCAGCCCCTGCAGTAATTAAGGATTTCTACGACGCTTTCCGCGTGTTTGGAGCAGTGAATAAGCTCTATCCAGCTATATTTGCATCTATTTAACTGCTTACTGAGTGCATAAAGTGTCGTAGAAATCCTTAATTACTGCAGGGGCTGCAGTAATTAAGGAATTTGTGCAGTAATTAAGGATTTTGCACAGTAAGTAAGAACCTTGTGCAGTGTTTATGAACAGAACTTGTTTTCGGCAGCAGCCCTGGCCCACACTAGCCCCAAAGTATCCAGAAAGCGCTGCTTGCTGGATGCACAGTGAAATATCTTGACTACAACAAAGTCATCACTCCGGCTGAGCCTTCCTCAATAGTCATAGAAGTCATAATCCCGCAATCGCATTAGCAAGTTGTGCATATCATTTGCCAGCCTGAGAAAACAGAGTCAGTCTGGAAAGCTTACACAAGCCAGCCACCATGTCAAAGCACTACATGTTGAATGTTAGTCCCAGAAGCTGTTCAGAGCTGCCCAATTGTTCTTCTTCTTCCGGGATCTCAACCTGATGGTTGCAGGATCTACTTGTGTTTTCCCACCAGGAAAAAGACATGTATGTTGCTGCACAAGATGTTGGACATGTTGCTGCCTGAACATGTTCACACCAGGGTGCCTGAACATGTTGCTGCCTCCTTTGTTCAGGATCGATCAATGGTGCGCCCATCACTTGCATCAGTTCTTGATGTTCAAGTTCTTGCTTGAGTCCTAAACACGACGATCACGCTTTTATGTGGAAAGCAGTATTTTAAAGTGTAAATTGCAGCAAGCAAACAAACCTTTGAGGCACGGGGGAGGTGCTTCTTCAGATTGTTTGATTGAATAACATAAGGACACAGATTGAACACAGCGACGTCAGAAACCCGGGCCTTCCCGCATCCAGTACTTTAGTCGCATTCTCACCACTCTTGAATTCGGCTTGTCAATGCTGATCCTTTTCTGACACGTGTGTCTTTTTCCAGTTGAATCTTTGTGTGTGTGAAGGTCGCAATAGAGATAGAGATAGGACACCTCAAAGGCAACACAACTTGGCAGTGGAACAAGAGTAGCAACAGAAGTCTGTGACAATACACGTTTTCTCTTACAGTACAGAAGTCTGTGAAAACTGTACGTCTGTGGCAAGGCACCCGATCTTCACGTTTTCTCTTACGGATTGTGAAGCGTCCATCTAGCACTGACTCTCGTTCTGGATCTGCTTGTTCACGTGGTTCATGTGGAAGAGCGGCCGGTTCCATATTCCCGTCCAGGTGGTGCAAGCGGCCGGGCTTATTATATAAATATATTATAGGTAAAATATCAATCAATCAATCAATCTATCTATCTATCTATAGATCTATCTTTGTAATATATATATATATACATACAGACAAATGTTGATGTTTGTGCGCATGTGTGTGTATTTCATATTCTTGTTCCCCCTTTTGGGTATGCTTACATATATGAAGATTACATTTAAGGTTGAGCTAAAAGACTCCAACTACACAAATAGACTCTGGAAGCAAGTGCTGAGCAAAGGAAGATGCTGACCTAAATGAAATATTGTGTTCCAATCACAACTCACAACCGCAACTTTTCCAATCACCATCGGACAGTTGTCGGGCCGTCGGGCCTGTCCAACTTGCCTGCTAGCTAGCGTGCAGGATGAAGCCGAGACTGAACTTGAATGGCGTCGTCCAACCTTGAACAAACAATTGCTGCTGAACACTCAGGACTCAAGACTCTTGATAAAGGATGAAGATGAACCATTGCTGCTAGGTAACGTTCGCTGGTTTCCAAGCTTCGCCTCGTCCTTTGGTATTGCCTTGTTTTGGACAAGAACGAAAGCCGATGTGCAAGAACGCACTGTGAGCATGTGCACATGTCCAAGCCCCAATCCCTGCCATGGTGCCATGAAGACGTGTCTTTGCCTGCGCTCTTCCAAGCTCTCGCCAGGGATGTCATTCATGAGAAAACCTGCGTCCAAAACACTTGCTAGAATTCCTTTTGATACGTGATACAACTGCAATGGTGCCTTGAAGTACCCACCAGCGCAATCGGAGCAAGCAAATAGATTCAGATGGCTGGTTCACCTGCATCTGCTTTGAGCAGTGTCTGGTCCTGCCAGCTTCATCTTGATAGGTATGTAAATCACAGGACACATAGTAGGAAGGTACCTTAGGATTGCGATGCCATGCATAGCGTCCAATCAGCTACTGTACTACCAATCCTACCCCAGTAAGAAAGCACTGCTGTTTGCATACTTGGTTGCAGCACCATCGTTGCGCTTGATTAGTGCAAATCTACTCTCTGCCAAAAAGATTGTTGACTCTGCGAAAAGCGAAGAATTTTGAACACCAGGTAAACGTGGGATACGACGCGCTCTGGGAACTGCAGGATCCAACCGTGTTCTCTTGTGCTGTGGCTGCTGTTGCTCATGCTCTGACTCTGATTCTGAACCAAGTGGACCAAGTTCAAGCTCAGTCTCCGCCACAGCTTGAGCTTGACCTGGCTCTTCTGGCGCTTGGGCTTGCCCTTCTGGTTCTGCTGGTAGATCTGTCAGTGAGGCGTGCAAACAGTGCAGAGTAAAACACAATTGTATCATAGCCTATTTCCAAACAACATAAATGCCTGGTTCATCGTTCATGATTTGAGCTTTACCAGTGGACTGTTCAAGCGGACGCTTTCCAAGTAGTCCATCGTAGAATGACTTCTTCTTGTTTGGAATGACTTTGCAAATCAAGTTGTCATCAACACCAAGGAGAGCCCTGTAATACCTTGGTTACAAGTCACAGGTCCCCGTCCAGCTCAACAAAAAGACAACATGATGTTTCATTTGGTTTCTTTGCAGCCATTGATGTCTACATTGGTTTCACGTGGGGAGCAATAAACAGTCTTGCCTTGTACATAGATCAGGGTACGCTTCCAGTTGCTGATGGTGAAGTGCACCGAGCTTTGCATCCAACAATCTTTTGCTATCTAGCAAAGCCCTCATGTAGAGTTTGCTCGGTGCCTTGTCCCCCCCAACATAGAAGGCCTTCTTTCTGCTGGTCTTGGTAACTGGCTTTAGTTTCCGCCCATCTGATTCCTGTGACCAATTCCCACTCAACAACAGGCCCATCAACTCCAAAGCTGACATTCTCTCTTGGGGAATGTCTCCCCGACAAAAGGAGGCCAATGAACCTTTCTGTGTGAGCTGCACCGGAAGAAGCAAACCTGTGGACATAGCCTTGTCAGTCAAAGTGTAGAAGGAACTGTTCGTCTCTTTGACAAACCCATGCCCTTGAAGACAAGCCAATGCCTCTCCGTTGGGAACATGCATGTCTCGACCCATTGCTTGCCAGGCTCCATTCTCTGCTATGTCAAGCAGCAATTGTTGCGCATCCAATGACCTTTGGCGGTGGTGAAAATAAGACCCCTAAGCTACGGACCCCTAAGCCTCCTTACCATTGCACGACTAGGAACATTGCAGCTTTGATGGACGGCTGTATGAGAAAGCAGGATCTTTCGGAAGCTACCCAGACTTTGATCTTTGATAGCAAAGAATTATCAACCTTTGCATGCTCACTCTTAAGCCTTGGCTTCGTATGAACAAAACTAAACACACGCTGCGTGCTACACACTCAATCCAAATGCAATCTCAGTAATGTCCAAAAGAAACTCGCACTGTCAGCAAACATGTACACTTCTCCAAATGAAGCCCAGGAACCAAGCTGCACCAGACAATTCAGCTTGGGCTGGAAGAACAAAAGCCCTTTTTGTTTGCTCACTCTGACGCTCAGGAACTCTGGGCTCTAAAGGCAAGACTCTGTATGATTGCATCATGAAATCCAAATCTTTCACATGCAGATCGCCCATCCAAGTGCGTTTTGACATGCGACCAAAAACAATGCGAAAAACAACATCTGTCATTTGTGCAGGTGGCAGCTGGCGCGGCACAGGTGTATAGTCACCACCATCCACCAAAGTGAGGGTGCTTCTGCTGCGCTGCTGTTTGTCACCAGCCACGACAGGATCACAACCTTCAAACACCCACAACCAAAAGCGCAAGTCACTCTCAACACTGGTCTCAACACACTTCCTTATGCTCAAAGTGCACGCTCAATCTCCAACCAAGCCACCTTGAGCAATGTCAGACAAGGAAACTGCACAAAAGCGATTTGCTGGCAACGAAAAATACACATTCTTCTCTGACTCAGCGACCTCCCAGGAGGCTCAATGGGTTGAGCGGTGGCTTTTGTTGAAATTGAGAGGCAAAAAACAGTTCCACAAAAAAAAGATTGCAGCACCAGTCCATATGCCTCAAGCATGTGAGCAATCAAAAGATTGCAGCGCCAGTCTAGCTTTGGCTTTGGTTTGGTGTCAACACTTTCCTGCATATTCTCTTCAATCTCAGACCGCAGCCCAGGCAGCTCCGCGTGTTTCAACTCAAGGTTGTCACGGTATAGCAAATTGGAGAGTTTGCGTTCATCCATTCGGAGCAATTCAGGGCAAGGTTCCAATTGGAGAACAGACCTGAAGGCTTCATATTCATATCAACTCAGAAACTCGTCAACATGGTTACATGGTTTCATATTGACTCTATTAACTCATACTGTGCACAGCGAAATGAATTTAAGCCTGCTACAAGACTGTAGAGCGGAAGCCGTCAATTCTCTCAATTGCGGCAGCATTCTGCGACATACTGTGAAGAACCTGCAATGAACTTTGCAACAACAACACGCAAATTCGGCACCAACCAAAATTCTAGCAACCAGACAAATTTCAAGCTTGAATGTCCAATCACTCTCTCTAGCTGCTAGCCTCTGGATTTTGTGAGACATTCTCGCAGAGGCACTTGTACCGCAACTCAAAGCTGACTGTCGCTAGTGTGGATGTAGGCGCTCGCTTATACTGGTTCGTCACCATGGAGTGGCAACCCTCA